GCCTGAAAGTGAGATGAGCGCCGCAACCCCATAGTCACCTTTGACTGGACTTAACCGTCCAGGGGTCCTTTACCTTTGTAGGATGTAAAACACAGATAGCAGTCAAGTACAACATTCCTAGAGTGAACATGAAAGGGGATGTTTGCTTCAGCCAGTAGAAAACTTCCTGTTTCCTCCTGGGCTGGGAGAAACTTCCTCTACATGTGACTGGAGGTGGACGTGACCTTACCTGCCCAGGTGACAAACGCACCTGGGACACAGCCCCCCCGACTCCATTCATTGTAGAAGCAACAGCTCTTCAGCTAGAGATGGGAGTATCTACTTATGGGATAGATTCCACATGTATATACTTCTGTAACTAAGTCTGCCTTCAGGGATCCATCTGTGAACTGAATGTGTGAGTAAACTTGTTTTATACTTTTTACACAGCTTTGTGCCGTATCTATTCTTTTTAAGAGGGAGTAAAGGGAATTACCAGGAATCCTATATATTTAGAAGCTTAAACAAGCCTGCAACAAGCTAACCGCTGTGCGTTTAAAGGGGAATGATTAAAACTCTGCTAAGTTATAGAATTTGCTCACGCAAGTTTGGAAAGGATATTAAGAAACAATATATTTCTCCTGCCTCCCTGAACATTCCCACAACCTTTACCTATTCAGAAGCATCCCTGCCTCCGACTGCAGAGTCAGGGCAGAGCTGTGATAGAACAGCAAAGGTTCTCTGCTGCAGGTGAGACTCCTGCCAGGTTCATCACCCAGGACAGTTCCTGAGAGGAGAAGGGTGGAACTGAGCAAGGCAGGAGTCCGTGAGAATGAGGCTGGTGGGGTGTCTCTGCCTCCCCCACCCGCTGCTGCTCACTTGCCGCTCCTTTGCTGGCAAGATCCTGGGTCCACACGGCCCTTATCGATTCCTCATTAGCGGTGCTCAGGACTCGTATAAATCTCTGCTTGCCAAAGGTTATGCTGTTTGTCAACTGAATAGCAAAAAGAGCCAGCGGGGGGTGGGGGGCAGGGAAGAGCCGCAGATTTCAGCAGAGGCTCCCTTGCGGGGGGGTGCACGGCGCTTTTACAACGCCCAGACTCCTGCACTGTGCTGGGGGGGGTAGAGCCCACCCCCAGCCATTTGCAGTGGGCCTGGTGGTGGATCACACCCTTCCGCCTCCTTAAAAATAATAATAATAGAGTGCTTTTTATATTTATTTGTGCACCTGGGTACATGGACTGGCGAGACAGTCTCTGCCCTTGGTGCCACTCAACATCTCCATTTGCCAAGAAGCATTTTATTAGTTTTGATTATTTGTGCACTGAATGTATTTATATCCCACCCCAAGTGGGGATCCAAGGCGGCTAGTGGTTTTGAAACACCGCTGTGAAATGCAAAGTAATGTGAAGAAGAAATTGCTTAAAAGCAAGAGTTGCAATACAATAAAACATGTTCAGAACCAGCATTAAGACACTGGTTACTCCGACAGCAGCCCAGCGGCAAACATTGCCGGCACGTCAGTTTTCAAAGACCTGCCTGACTAGGAAGGTCTTAGCTTGCCAGTGGAGAAATATCAAGGAGGGGGCCAGGAGAAATAAACTCTCTTGGGAGGGGACTCCGCAATGTGGGAGCAGCCACAGAGAAGGCCCCGTCTCGTGTCACCCTCTTGTGCTGGATGTTGATGGGACCGAGAGGAGGCACCTGGGCATTAACATGGGGATGCTTTGTGCCAACCTGTGTCATGGCACCTGCGCAACTCTCTCATAACGCTGGAACTCATGGGCCTCCAGTGGAACCGAGTGCTGGAAGATTTGGGACAGATAAAAGAAGGCCTTCTTCACACAGCACATAGTTAAACTGTGGAACTCCCTCCCACAGGAGGAAATGAAGGCCACCAATCTAGATGGCTTCAGAAGAGGATTGGGCAAATTCATGAAGGAGACGACTATCAGCGGCTCCTAGCCAGTATGGCTATGCTCTGCGCTCCACAGCTGGAGGCGGCAATGCTACTGGATCCCAGTTGCTGGAAACTGCAGGAAGAGAAAGGGATCTTGTGCCCAAATCCTGCTTCCTGGTTTCCCATAATGGACACATGGCTGACCACTGTGAGAACAGGAGGCTGGAGTAGATGGGCCACGGGCCTGATCCAGCAGCCTCTTCTGATGTTCTTACATTAAGGACCTAGACTATCCTCCCCCAGGGCCAGGGCCTTCTCAGTGGTGGCTCCAATCTGGTGGAATGCTCTGTCCCAGTAGACCAGGGCCCTGCAGGATTTAACCTCCTTCTGCAGGGCCTGTAAGACAGAGCTATTCCGCCTGGCCTTTAATTTGAATTCAGCCTGATCTTTTATTCCCCTTCCTTCCTTCCCCCTCCCCTTTTATGAAGATTACCCGCTCTGGGATCCCACAGCTAATTCTCCCCTGGTCTCCTCGCTGGCCCAAATAGGACTAATTCACCCAGCTAGCCCTGGGGATTATCTAATGCTTATTTCCCCTAAATTGATTTTTGATTTTTACTGTTATTCATGTTTTTATACTGTATTTTATGCTGCTTTTATAATTAAGTGTTTTAAATTTGTTGTTAGCCACCCTGAGCCTGGTTTTCTGAACCAGGAAGGGCAGGGTATAAATTAAAAAATATTATTATTATTACTAGCAAGGCCCCCAGCCAAAAGGGTCTTGATAAAGGCCAGGAGGAATCTTCTTCTGAGAGCAGGTGCCTATGACACCCTCACGCCCAGCATCGGAAAGGTTAGGCACCCTCTTTGAATATAGTGATACCTCGGTTTTTGAACATCTCCATTGACGAACGTCTTGGTTTTCAAATGCCGTAAACCCGAAAGTAAATGCTTCAGTTTTTGAACGTGCCTCAGAAGTCGAACATGCCATATGGCTTCTGTACTGAGTTTTCCATATTGAGTTTTCGGTTTTTGAAAGTTTCGGATCTTGAACGGTTTTTCAGAACGGATTATGTTCGAAAACCGAGGTACCACTGTAGAAGGTTTGAGGCTCAATCCCTGCTGGGTGAAACCTCTAGGTTGGAATGGGATGGCATCCCTGTCTGAAACCCTGGAGAACAGCTGCTGCCAGTTTGTGTCGACAACACTAAGCTATGTGCTGCATGAAGAAGGACCTTAATCTGTCCTGATGCTTCCAGCATCACAGGCTGCTATAGGGATGAGGCAGTTTAAGGCTGGTCTCTGCTAACAGAAAGAGAATCGTCATCTTCCCAAAGGGCTCTCAGTAACCCTTGAACTTCCTCCCAAAATCACTCCTCCAAAACCTTCTTTGAAACAGTTGGAGTCTTGGAGACGAACGTTCTCCAGATAGTCTTTAGTTTCCAGGGACAAGATGTCTGTATTTGACACCCAATGATACTTGATTTCAAGGTTCGATATCTATTGATGAACATTTGATGAATGACATCCACTGATGTTTAGTACTTGACTGCTGACGTCTTCTGAGACTTCTAAGCCTGCCAAAATCAAAGGATGCCAAGGGATGCTAAAGTGCTTAGACTATGGAGCTGAACACTTCTCATTCAAAATCAGAATGGGCAGACTGGAAAAATCAGATGGGGGAGAGAAAGCTTCATAGAATTATAGAGTGCAGGGACCTCAGGGGTCATCTAGCCTGGCCCCCTTCAATGCAGAAATCACAGCTATAGAATCCCCTGACTGATGGCCATCCAGGAGAGCTTGCCACTGTGATGGCCTGGGACTGGGGCTCAGACTCGGAACCAGAGGAGACTCAGTCCGCACCAGATCCTTTGCCTCAGACATCATCTGAACCTAGTCTGGGGCCTGATCCTGAAGAGCCCCAGTCTGCACAGGTTCCCCTGCAACAAGCACCAGCTGGGCTGAGTCAGGGGCCTGAGCCTGCCCTGGCTCCAGACAGGGGGATGACCTCGTTGCCTCCAGCTTGGGCCATCACTTCCAGCTGCTCCACTACCGGTTGGGTCAGGGGAGGCTGAGGCGGCCTCTGGGTCTAGTAACCCACTGACGTCTCCCCAGCTGCAGAGACTGAGGTCTGAGAGAAGGAGATACCTGAGTACTTGCAGGAGGAGTGCTTGTCTTCGGACGAGACAGGGAGGTGAGTCACCAGGGGATCAGGACCGGCCGTTACCCTGACAAAGATAAAAGGCTGTTGGACCCCACGCCAGATTGTGGAAGCAACATTGCTGTTAGCTAGAACCTGCCTGAGACCCTGTGCCTGACCTAGCCTGGTTTCCTGCCTCGTGTCCTGCCTTGGCCCTGTCGGACTGACTCCTAGAGGAACCTTCAGATTCTGGACTGGTCCTGGACCGCGTTTTACAGGTTACCCACGGGCCCAGCACAACCACCTTCTGAGGGAGTCAGTTCCACCATTGAATGACTCTTGCCCTTAAAATGGTCTTCCTAATGCTCATTCAGAATCTCCTTCCTTGTAATTTGATTCCCTGCCCTGCCCTCTGGAGTAGGACAAATTGTTGTTGCTATACTTTTGTATACTGTCCTTCATATGGATTTATTAAATTTGTATACTGCCCATCGTTGTATTTTTCAGAACAGAAAAATACAAAACAAGAATACAAAATACCGAATGAAACGAAAACAAGCCCATACCCTCTCCCTTCGCAAACACATTTAGGAAACCATAGCATGTTAATGAAAAGCAAGCTGGCTCCGTCTTCCATGTGACAGCCCTCCAGGTATCTGAAGATGGCTATCAAATCACCTCTCCGTCTTCTCTTCTCCAAGCTGAAGATACCCAACCTCCTCCTGAATCTCCGTTTCCAGGCCCTTGATCATTTACCATTTCAAAGCGTTTGTGAAGATTTGCTTCTGATAAGCTGTCAATTATTTTCTTGGAACCTCAGCCCTGAGGGTTGTATCCCAGATCCTTTGTCTGAGTGTCAGTAGCAAAGCAGTCAAATGCCGCTGCTGCTTTAACATGACTGCTCTATCCTGCGCCTTGCAAGTAAGTGCCCTGAATGTTCAAGGCAAGCAAACCTGAATGTTCAAGGCAAAGCTCTGTGTAGCTCTTCAGGATTTGGAAACAATCACTTGGCCTCTGTTTTAATTCATCATTTTATGCCTGCGATTGTGTGTGAGGTTTTATTATTATTATTCATATGGATAAGCTTCAAGTCCCCCACCATTCATGGACCTCCTGCCAGCCCAGGATTACCAATGTTGCGGCTGATTGGATTTCTAGCCCTGAACAGCCGAAGAGTGCCAGGCTGAGGAAATCAGACGTTGGGTGGCCATCTGCTATGGATGCTTTAGATGCATGGGGTTGGGCTGGATGACCCCTGGGGGCCCCTCCCAACCACTCAGTTCTATTATTCCAAGTCTCTCCTCCATCATCTCTCTCCCTCTCTCTCTCTCTTTCCAGGCTTGGCTCCCCATCTGCAAAGGCTGTTGACAATCCAGGCAGACTGTGAAGGATGTAAAGGAAGCACCAGGCAGACTGTAAAAGATGTGTGGAGCATTAAAAGAGCGCATGATCCGCATGCAGAAGCTGCCACCTGCCAGCCTCCCGTAGCAGATTCTGCTCAAGACCCGCAACCAGGAGGACAGGAAGGAGGCAATTCTGGGCTAAGCGGACAAGAGACCTGCTCATGGGCCATTCATTCTGCTGTCAGGGCTGAAGTCAGAGGCAGGTCAGCAGGGAAAACGCAGGGCTCTGTTGTCAGGGAAGTTAACTATTCAAGGAAGCCACTTCCAGCTCTGCAGGTTGGCTTCTGTGGAGCAGTTGCCAGGACTGGAGGTCCCTGCCCCCCACCCTTTAGAAGGACCCTCCTCTCCCAAATGTTTCCCAGACTGTCTCAAACTGTGTCTGCACACCTCTGGTCTCTGCTCCTCAATAGCCTGCACATTCTTGGTGTTATAGGAAAATCCTTGGGCCCACTGGGACTGCCAAAGACACCAGTCAGAAATATAGGAGCAAAACAGCAGCCAGTAGGCCTGGTCTTTATTAAAAACTGTTGCAACAGGACACCCACCCACCACACGGGAGAAGCAGGAAGAAGCCCTGAATAAAGAGATGCTTCCTTTTTTATAAGTTTTCCCTTTTCCAATTCCCCTCTCCAGCGCCACTGCCAAAATAAAAAGGCCACCATGCGGCCTATGACTGGGGCACCCCCCGCCCTCTCGGGCCTGGCAAGGTGCCCCCACGGCAAGCAGTGACCGCAGAGGGGGCTTACAGCCCCTCCCCAGTGCCACCGCCGCTGAAAAACAATAAAGGAAGGCTTGCAAGCAGCCTGTAACAAACAAAGCAAAATACTTACCTCAACCTGGTTGCTCACACGTCCTGCAACCTGGAAGATGATCCTGGAAGGAAGAAAACGAAGTGAGGCTTGGTCGAAAGGGTCAGCCTCTTTTCTTTGGCCTTAGCCCCACCCCCGGCTGGCTGGCCATTGTCCTCCCTGGCCGAGGGCGGGTCAAAGGCCAACCCAAGCAGGTGGGAGGCACCTGTCCAGGTGAGCCCCATTCAGTGCCACAAACCCCACCCACCTGTAGGGAAGGGAGGGCAGAAATAAACACCTTTGGTGAAGCATCATACATACATCATACATATGTCACAAACGGGGAGAGTTGGGGGTGTTTTTTGGCAGAAACCGGTTCATCAGGTTTGCCCCCATCTCTCCTTTGCCCTCCACCTCACACCCATCAAGTGATACAAAAGAAATATTTACAAGTTCCTGTTTTTTCTGGTCAAGGTAATCACACTCCTTTGTCCTGAGCTGAGAACCGAATCCTTTCCTGGAGGGTCTGCTATTGTCTGTGGGATGACTACCTGTCTGCCAGTGATTACCTCTTGTGTAAGAGGCTGCTGAGTAGTGGTCTCAAGGCTTGAGGGATTATGGCTGCCCACATCCCAGACTCCCCCCTTGGTAGCCATTCCTTTCCTGAACAGTGGAATGGCACAAATCCATACTGGAGCGATTTTATATGAATTTCTGAAGTTTTCCCAGTGAGCCAGTACATAGATACATTTATCAGTGAACTGTTGCATTTGGTATTCTGCAGCAGAATAAAGATAGGAAAAAATGTGATGAAGTGTTTTGTGGGGACATTTGCAGGAGTGATTGTGTTGATTTTGGTAGTCAGGGGCAGGGCGGGGGTGTATGATGCGGGTGGCAATGTGGTCTAAACCACTGAGCCTCTTGGGCTTGCTGATCAGAAGGTCAGCGGTGTGAATCTCTGCAATGGAGTGAGCTCCTGTTGCTCTGTCTGAGCTCCTGCCAACCTAGCAGTTCAAAAGCACGCCAGTGCAAGTAGGTAAATAGGTACAGCTGTGGCAGGAAGGAAAACAGCATTTCTGTGTGCTCTGGCTTCCGTCACAGTGTCCTGTTGCCCCAGAAGCGGTTTAGTCCTGCTGGCCACATGACCCAGAAAGCTGTCTGTGGGCAAACGCCAGCTCCCTCGGCCTGAAATGTGAGATGAGCGCTGTTGGGATATTCCGTTCCACCTTAAGGACAGATGTGTGGAATTGTTGTATGTCACATGTCTGTTTACACTCCAGCACAGCTTGCTGGGAACTTCCGTTTGTGTATAGCTTTTGCTGTCTTGCTTTGGACACGAAGGAGATCAGACATGTTTTCCTTTTGTCCTGATGTATGCCGAATAAACTGTTTGTAAATATGCTCACACAACTTCTCCTTCCGCTTCTGTTGCGTAGTGTTTATTCTGCTGAGTAGTGTGCCCTAGCTTCTGAAGCTCAGGTCGCTGATGCTTCACCAAGGACTGGAGATCACCCGGCACACCGGCCGGTGGGCTGGAGCCAGCTGGGGGCCTGCCAATTGCCCCTGTTTCCTTGGTCGTTGCCAACGAGCGCCACAACCCCATAGTCACCTTTGACTGGACTTAACTGTCCAAGGGTCCTTTACCTTTGCCTTTTTACCGTATGATGTCTTCTGGAGGGCCACACCTTTACATAAATTCCAGTAACACCAGAGAGAGAGACTCCCTGGATTCTTCAGCTGCCTCTTGACCCCCTTCCTCTGCTTCAGCCTCAGAGTCTTGTTGCAGGAACCCCCCCCCCCATCATTCAGTTTGTACAAACACAACACACACACACACACACACACACACACACACACACACACGACATACGCGGCGCTTCTGTTATAAATTCGTAGAAAATCAACCATACATCAGATCTGCACCGTTCCACTTTTATTTTACTCCATGAAGGAAGGACTACAAAATGTGGAAGGTCTGATACAGGGCAGCCATAATCTCTCGAGTGTACCAACACATCCGCAGGAAACCTGCCCAGTTGGCATGCCAACCTTGATGGTCCTAGGCAGAAGACCATCAAGGACACAAAGAACTTGCATATGGGAGTGGATTCAGCACAAACTGAGACAAAGGACAGTGATCAGCTCTTCCCTCTGGGGACAGGAAACTGCAAACTCCCCTTTGTCTTCTGGAAAGTACTCATGGGGAGGGGGAAAGGAGGAACCAGCCAGGTGACATGATACTCAGGTTACCACCACAACTCCTCCCTCAACCCCTCCTCTTTGTGATGTGTCAATGATGTAGTCGTGATGTAGTTATGATGTAGTCTTAGGGGTGTAGCATGGGGGACTAGCAGCTAATAAAAGTTTGGGGGCTCTTTTGTTGGGGGCTTCCATCTTGTTCCACCTGGTGGCAGGTGGGAGTCCTGTGGCGGCAGTCTTCAATCAAGACCAAGCCTACTGGCTGCTCTTTTGCTCTGGCATTCCTGGCTGGTCTCCTTGTTTTTTGTCCAAGGGAGCCCTCAGATTTCTCTGTTAACAGTCTGACCTGCTCCCTGGCCCTTCCTTCCCCCTAAGTCCTGTTGCCCCTTCAGCATCCAGCCCCTCCTGCCACGATCTTCTCCCTGCACCCTCTGAGCCTTCCTCCTCCCTTGGGGGTTCCTCTGCCCACGGCTCCTCTTTGCCCAGCCAGTCCCTGACACCTGCCTTGTTTCCAGGGAGATCTGAGGACACGGCTATTGACTGAGGATTCCCCAGGATTTCCTTATGGGGAGGCCAGGTGATGTGGCAAGCAGGTTCAGGGTGTGAAACCTCCCAATGCAACCCGAACTTGCTGGCATGTGGCTGAATCCCAGCGGAGGACCTGGAGGACCTGTCCTGTGGCACCAGGAATGCCTCCTGTCTGTCGTTCTCCTGAGCGGCCACACTTGCTTTGGCAAAAACCCAGCAGGAGGGAGGTGCCCCCCCCCCCCACATTCAGCTGGGGAGGGGCTCGTTCAAATGAGAAAAGCAAATTGCCTTTTTTCGTTTGCAACATGTTGAAATCCGCATCCGAAATGTCAAGTTTTTTTCCAAATGCTGTTCTTCTGAAGTTTAATTTAGAAAGGGCTCTTTAGAAAGCTCCCAGGTGAAAAAAACGTTAAGGATCACCTTGACAAACTCCGCCCCGTCCCCCCCCCCCCCGCGTTCACAGCAGCACGGAGACCTGCCAGCATCCATAATTGGGAATGTACTTTTAAAAATGGAATCAGGAAGAAATAAAAGCAAATCACCGCAAGTAAATGCACTCGAGAAAGAGCGTTTTCCAGGGGTTTATATTTCTCTGAAATCTGTTTCAGCTCCAGACAAGATGACCCGGGGGGCAAACTGGAAGCGGCTCGCGCAAATCCATGTAATGACAGGAGCTTTTTTTCTGTTTTGCCTTAATGAAAAGCAGCCTTGGGAGGCTGCAGTCGGGAGGGGAGGGGTGAAGGGGTCTGCATGTCTGCTTAGCCCATGGGTAAGGCAAACTAAGGCCCAGGGCCCAGATCCGGCCCAATCACCTTCTAAATCTGGTCCGGGGACATCATCCATTTCCCTTATGGGGTACCCAAGAGCCCATATAGATTCCTTTTTATAGGTTCCCTATTGGTAGGAGAACATAACAGAGGCCAACCAGAGAATATTGAGAAGCAAAGCAGCTAGTAAGCCTGATCTTTATTAAACTGTTGCAACAGGGTCCTCACTCACCACACGCAGGAGCGAGGAGGAACCCAGAACAATGGCGCGCAAGCCCTTATATAGACTTTTGCAACTGCCCACCCTGCAGCCCAAGACTACCCCCCAATACATCATCCATCCATCACAGGAGGGGCAGTCTGCGGCAGAATTCTGTCTGGCAGGAAACCTGTTGATGGGTATACCTGGAGAATCTGGCCATTCTTTTGTGGTGACAAATACTTAATTCCTGAGTCCAGGTCACAGGCTTGCCCTATTGTGGGCACACACGCTAAACCCTGTCTGTGGTGCCTACCCCTTTACCCCAAATGATGAGACAAGAGACCAGAGTAAAACGCAAAAAGGCCGGTTACTTCAATCTGGCCACCAGAACCCGCTCCAGGTGATCCTGATCCTGGAAGGAAGAACACCAAAGAGGCTTGGACAAAGGGGTCAGCCTCTTTTCTTTGGCCTTTGCCCCACCCCTGGCCGGCTGTCCATTGTCCTCCCTGACAAGGGCGGGTCAAAGGCCAGCCCAAGCAGGTGGGAGGCACCCGCCCAGGTGAGCCCTGCTTAGTGCCGCAAACCCCACCCACCTGTGGGGAAGGGAGGGCGGAAATTCATGTCTTAAATGTGCCCTTAAGGCAGGATTTGTGAGCACAGAGACAATGGGGAGGCTTTTCCCATTTCCATCCAAACTGCAGAGGAATATTTGAGGTCACTGAAAGAGTAAAATGGCTTTAGGACTGTGCCTACTGGCGCCCCCTCCCCTTTTGCTGACGCGTGCACACACACACACACACACACATCCAGGGACACGGAGGCGAATCGGAGAACAAACAGCTGGCTCCGGCTGCCAAGGTCCCTGAACATCTCAGCTGCCTGGAACACTCCCATATGCTTCCGGGGAGAGCACACCCCCCCCCCCCGGGCACAGTTCAGCAACAGAGAAAGAAGTTTGTCCATGAAGCTGAAATGTGGGAAGGTTCGGGATGAAGAAAAGAAAGTTCTTCCTTGCACAGTTAGACCATGGAACTCCCTCCCTGTGATAGGAATTTTGAGATCTGTTGTTGTTGTTGAGTTGTTTAGTCATGTCCACCTCTTCGTGACCCCCTGGACCAGAGCACGCCAGGCCCTCCTGTCTTCCACTGCCTCCCGCAGTTTGGTCAAACTCATGCTGGTAGCTTTGAGAACACGGTCCCACCATCTCGTCCTCTGTCGTCCCCTTCTCCTTGTGCCCTCCATCTTTCCCAACATCAAGGTCTTTTCCAGGGAGTCTTCTCTTCTCATGAGGTGGCCAAAGTATTGGAGTCTCAGCTTCAGGATCTGTCCTTCCAGTGAGCACTCAGGACTGATTTCCTTAAGAATGGATAGGTTGGATCTTCTTGCAGTCCATGGGACTCTCAAGGGTCTTAGATATATGTTAAATATTCATAAGTGTACCAACCAAGCACGTACATAGATCAGCACAGGAAGACCGACCTGAAACCATTTTTGATTCCCAAATGTTTTCTCTGCAAGGTCAAAGGAAAATGGAAAAGCTTCCCCATTGTCTTTTCCTTCACAAATCCTGTCTCAAGGGCACATT